CAGCTGAATCTCCAGTGATTGATGATGTGCATTAAATGCTGAGAATTTTACAGACGGCATGAAATCCTTTATGTACAAGTATTGTTAAAAAGGTTGCTGTTAGCTAATGTCACTGCTTCTATTAATTTCGACGATATTCAACGCCTCAGACGCTTAATTGAAGTCAGCTTTTTAAAACCTTGTAATCACTCATTTTTGGATTATTACTTTTACAATAGCTTGATTCCACGCAGTATTTTAGTACTAGTGTGGAATTTTCAGCATGTGATATCGGTAGTCCAAATATCAGGTGTGCGTCAGCAGAGAGTCGAACCCCAGGCCATGTCTATGGTCTGCGAGCGTCCTAACCGCTGTGCCACTGTAGTGTGACCGTGAGGAATCATTTGATTTTAAGTTTCTTAAAAGAGATGCAATACAAAGTAGCATCCTATTGAAAATTTAGGACACAAAGGAATTTCATTGAAGGACCAGATTTCTAATATTTTAGTATTCTCTTGGATTACGAGAGGAGCATACAGCTTCATTTCACCTTGATCTCTACAATATGTTTTGTCTGGTCCCTTTCATAAGTTTTGATTTTCATCTTCACACGATCTCCTGTATGTAAGCCTGAGACCTACTCTGGACTCTTCAATTCCCGTTTACGTTTGGTTCAAGTGCTTGGTATTTCATACGACTCACCGGTCTTCTTAGTGCACGTCAAGGTGCCGCTACTTCCCTCTTCACATTTGTTGGACGACGGCGTTGTAGTACGTTCACCGCTTGCTAGAGTTTCTTGTCACTAATCCTTTCTGACCATCCATCTGATCCTCAGTATCGAGTGAATACAACTGTTTGCAAGAGTCTGCATCAGGTTGTTTGAAGTGCTTCCAATGACGTGTCAAATCTTTGAGCCATAAAGAGGCAATGAATTGACACAATCTGAATAAATATTTTGCCATCAGGTCTAGAGACTATGCAGGCAATCTGGACGGCAGTAATCACATTTTACTTAAAGCTAATAATATCAGTTTCTGATAATATTTTCTTAGAAGCGTCACACCGGTTGACTGTTTATAACGCATTTTGATAACACATTAATATGCTTTCAAACTGTGGATCACACTATATTCCTATACGCTTACTTGTATTGCCACCTAGCAGACTGATACCTAATAAAGAATGTTGCACTTTTGGTCCTCAGTATTTTTTTATGCGTATAAAACTGTGGTAACTGTAACCGAATGTTGACAGAAATCTGAAACATTCTATCGAACCATTCAAAGTCAATGAGTGCACGAGGAGTAGTAACACTGAAACCAATGGTTATTCTTATGAATAAAAAACCGTTTTCTTTATCACAGCCATGAAGAGTAGTTAAACTTCAATCTAGTTGGTAACTTTTGAGAAACCACTGTATTTTATTATTATTTTATTTCTTTGAGTTCCAAATGAGATATAGGGCTTCAGGTATAAGCTTTGAAGTTTCGGTTGCAGTGGTGTTTATTTTTGCAGTGGTGTTTATTTTTGCAGGGTGAGGCTGCTAGTCTCGCGTCAAATCTACCCTCTTTATCGGACTTATAGTCGGCTAAGGGAGGTAGACTGCAGTCTATCGGTAGATTACAACAATGATCACTAGGCTTGAAACTTGCTGCTATCTCTAACTTCGAGCTAATTTTTTAAAATTATAGCTTAATTCCACACAGTATTTTTGTACAAATATAGAATTTCCAGTACGTGATATTAGGAGCCTAAATTCAGCAAGCCAACTATTGATATCAGTTGTGTGTTGACTGAGGATTGAACCCCAGACCATTTGTATAATCGACAAGCGTCCTAACCACTGTGTCACCGATAATTAGAGACGATACATAAGATTTTAAAACTCGTTTATTGGTCAAAAAACAATGAAGTACTTCAGTGTAGCAGCTTTTCTCGGTAAATTCATTTTATTTTGGCTGTACAACCTCATTTATATACAATTTTCTTTTCTCAAAAGATGACAGTAGCAGAAGTGATGATTTGTCATAATTATATTTGTCAATAATCATCGCTACATAAAAAAAGAGTTGGCTGTGGGTGTAAGAGTTGCGCAAAAAGAAAGCATTGCATATATATATATATATAACTGCAATTTTACGAGGAAAGAAAATGAATTCGTTAAAGAAAACTTCTTTTGCTGAACTACTTGTTTTGGTTTTTCATTACTGTCTGCGTGAATGAGGATTATTCATGGAATTACTTGTCAGATTTCTTTTATCTATCTAGGTAGATTTCTTTTCGTCATGCAATGTCTGTTCGTTGCATACTGTTTTATTCTTTTGCAACTTTTGCTGTAGGTAGAGTAATATTTAAAGAAAGAGGTATCATCTTGCTTCATTGTGTGTTTCCTTAAATTATGACTATCTGATTAAATTCGATATTCGGCATAACATGAACATTCCGAAAAAGTGGTTAAACGGTCTATCAGCTTGAAAGTATCTATAGTATTATAAAAGTTTTTTCAGAAAACAAATAGACAAGCAATAGGCTTATCTATAAAAAAGAAGTCTGGAAGAAACACTAGAAATTTGAGACAATTTTTTTGTCCGACATTCGACTACTTTGCAGTGTATAGAGGTTTTCGTGCCGTTTTATTCCGTCACTCCAGGAATCTCAGATCTAATGTTACAAACACACTACTCTGTACAGATTTCGCTATCAGTTCACTTTCTCTATGTTGAAGAAAATCTGAAAATGTCTACTTGTTTTTTAAGTGATCGTACACGTATTTCACGTTAAAACTTAGCAAACACACGAGCATTGATCCCATAAAAGAAATATAAGAAAATATCGATCCTAGGTAATAAACGAACTGTAGTTTATTATTTCAAAGCGGTCACTTCTGCAGGAAAAAAAACTTGGAGATGTCAATAAAAGTAGCAGTAATGTAGAATGAAGATAAAATGGTTGAGAACTCACCCACATTGCCTTTTTCACTCGATAGAAGAAAAGCATAAAACAAATAACAAACCATTATTATAAGTCTAAGCCACTGTATTCTTCACAAGTGGATTCCAAAACAGAGTGATACTAAGTTGGCATTTGGATGATTGATTTACTCCTAATGCATTTGGAAGACAAAAAACAACTCAACTATCTTTGATGGTTTCGCCGTTGTTGGTGTGAAATATTATGCTGTTTATTAAAGCATCTGGAGGAGATATTTCAGACAACCGTCTTGAGAATCATTTTCTCCAGTAAGTCAATTCAAGCATTAAGGACAAGATACCGCTTTCGGTCACCTGAGTATCCATTGACCAATAAGCTTATTCTTTTGAAGGAAAATGAACTTATTTCGGAAAGTTGTTCAGCCTGGCTAGCCAGAGAGGGTCACCAATATCTCTGTCTTTAGGTCATTAAGAACCCTTGAATACTTGCTTCACACTGAGACACAAAGGTCCATAATGTCGCATAAAAATACTTCAAAAACACTATGTATAACTGACCTAATCACTGGCAATTCAGAACCTGAAAGCTAACCTCTACGTTCGGAAGTATTTTATATGCTAACTCATCTTAATATGCTTAGAGTCATATTCTTTCCATAATTTTGCTACTGACCTTAGTTATTTAGGAAAGAGGCGCCGAACTAAACGTTACACATTTTTTTCACTTTTTACTGTTTTTAAATGCTGTTTATCCAAACTAGGAATCTATTTCACTTGCGTTACAGTAATAGTGTTATTTAAGCAATTTTCGAACATTTATTAAGCTCCTCGAAACGAAGAAATCCTATTTTACGATGACAAATGCTATGTATCTTTCATTTAGCCAAGATTTGTTTTGTTCAAATTCTGTAGTACACAGTTGTAGAAATTTGTATGATACGTAAGAGAAAAGGTTTAGACACACTTTGAACCGAACGTTTCAAAGTACGTAGTCACAGTCTCTAGTTGACATGAAGATTGCAGAAAATAAGTAGAAATCCCTGGTCATTATCTATTTAAATTTGAATATTCTACGTAAAGTACCTTAATTCACCTTGCTCATTTTAACGTAGCTGCCTTTAGGCTTATTTAGTACTAAATGGTTGAGGTCGTTGCAATTTTGAAATTGGCATTCAAGTGGGAATGGAATAAAAATGTTTCTCATGTTCAAAGTGCACCACGATAATTGTTTGGAAAATCCCTCCCTAATCATGTATTTACAATTTTAATGCTTGTTGAATATTCCATTCAATTGTGTAATTATTGCCATTTCTCCCTTGATTTGTCTATCAGAGCATTTCAAAGTTAACAAATCTTTTAATTTAATCATAAGTATTGTCCCTTTACTATGGTTGATTCCTATTCTTCATATTTTACTTTACCATTGGGTGATTTTGGACTGTTAATGAATACATGAAGTCTCAAAATTGTAGCTTCATTTGAATGAATTCAAGGTTATACCATAGGGACTATTTTGCTTTAGATAGTGGGCAGGAAACGTGTTTGGTTTGTCTGATTCTCGCTGAAAGAGTTTCGTACCCACCTTGTTGGGAATAGCCTAATCGATTCTCAGGTATTTCTTACGTTTGTTTCCTGTCAGTCACTCGTAGAAGTTTGGTAGGTTTCATTAAAGAAAGACATATTGGTTGACTCTTTGCTTTCACACCGAAACACTTAAGTTTGTCTCGTCCCACACAGTACCTGAAAACATTCAATTATATTCAGTCGGATGTTCTAACAGTTTAGTTGTGGAACTAGAAATGGAAAGCCGCTTATGTTTTAGAGTGAGGGCAGATATTTCTAGTGTTCCGATAGGTGCTTGATTGCGGGTTGCAAATACTCAGACTTGATGAAATCAATGGCGATGACAAGAACAAGTTCAACGTTTAAACAGAATGCGCAAGGCACGTACAATTAACTCCCTATATTGTCTTATATAACGTGAAATGCGTGTGACAAACACTTCAAGTGAAAAGAAATAAAAGACTGGCTTTATTGTATTCTAAGAAGCAAGGATTGTAATAAAAAATAATATTATAAATAAGTGCTTACCTCCATTTCTGTGACATTCATATTTGGTTCCTCTTGAGTTTGATGAATTAAGTAGACAAGACCACCGAGTAGTGTTGTTAAAATTGTATAAAAGCTAATAGTCAGCAGCATTAATGTTGTCGATTTAAAACTTGGACTAGTACGTTTACCATGTGAACTTTTTCTTGATGCATTAAAATCTAATCCAACAACATCAGAACTTATACGACTAGAGATATGAGGTCGTCCATTAATTGTCGGTCGACTATTATTATTATTATTATTATCAAATGAATTAACTGGATGCCTAGAAGCCGGTGATTTATCCGAATACTTTGGTATTTCTCGTGAACTACGCACATTTAGATTTGTTTCAATAGACGGATTTGTTGTAATCAGCTTATCATTTGTTTGCTTTCGATTAGATTGTATAGCAGATGAATGTCTACATGTGCTCTGTGATGAAAATAAACTTTTAAAACAAGATTTAATCTTATTTTTATGTAATATTTTTGATTTAATTTGTGATTCATTTTGTGCAGTGACTGACATTGATGCTGTTGTCGATGAAGAGGATAAATGATTAGACATCAGTGCTAATTGTTTATTAGCTCGATGAACTTTTGCAAGTTCTTTGATAACTAAACAATTGAAAATTAACACCAGTAATGGGACAACACCAGCAAATACAGCTTCTAAACATGACAAGTATACACTAACTATTAAAGCATTTATATGACGTTTATTACATGTATTATTTTCAGTAATAAATATATATGCATGCCCAGAACAAACTAAAATTGTTCCAATAATAATTGAGAAACATATATAGATTGCTCTTCTTGGACTGCATATTCTATCTATAGCGAATGGTTTACATATAGCTAACCATCTTTCCACAGTAAAAGCAAGAACAAATAATGGTGAAGCATACTGTACAGCTGGTGATAAGATATTCTGAACTTCACATGATCCTGGGTAAAAATGTTGATGAATATTCCAAACACGTGATAAATCTCTGTGCAGCGCAAAAATTAAAACAATAATGTCATTGATAGATAAAGCAGCCAGATAGACAGCAGCTGAATTCTCTCGAACCATTCTTTTGTTAGACCATATAATTAAGGAGAGTAAATTACCCGGGAAACCGAGTATATAATAAATTATGGTGACATATCGATCGACAAATAATGCCATTGGAACAAACCGTGTAGCGAAGTCAATCCATGTTGGATAGACTTGAAAAATAGTTCCATCTGAAGTGTTGTGTGCTGTTATATTGTTGTTAGTTAAAAAACTACTTTTCACTTCATTTGTCTCCATCGGAACTGACTGAACTATATGAATATATATCAGAAAAAGGGTAACAGCAGTTACTTGAGGCTGTTTACCGAAATTCATGAAGAGAGTTGACGTTGAATAGTATCTGTTAGACAAAAAAAGAAAATATTAACAGGTAAGGAGTAATGCTATCTTGGAGGCAATTAAGTTATATCGAACAAATATTCATTCTACGCATTATTAAGTACTACTAACTCTTTTTACATATTATCCAAATCGGTTCTCGAAACTGCATAAATTTTTCTAGGTATTTTTCATAATACAAAACAGTTATTGTTTATTATAACTCCCTTGAGATTTAAGTGGAACATAAAGCTTCAGCAACAAATCTCTACTTCACCCTATTCTCTGCAGTCCCCTTAAGATGGCTTCCTCATCTCCTCAAACGATCTCCTGCATGTCACTCTCGAACCAACGCCCGAATTCATCGTTCCACTTGAGGGCCTGGCGTGCGACATAATCCAGTGGTTTCTTCAGCATGTGCCCGATCCATCTCCATATTCCTCTTCAGCATTTTTCTTTGTCAGGCGAAGGTTCTTTGTCGGTTCTTTGCCAGGGTGCCTTCTTACTGGTTCTTTCTAGCCATCTCATCTTCACTATCTAGCCAATGAAGACTGGTGTTGATTGAAACCTTCAGCAGGTTTTCGAAAATGCTATTTATGACGTGCCAAGTTTCTGACACTTACAGAAGGACAGCTTGACTTAAAAGTGGTGCTCGAGATCTAGATCTTGTTTGTGATGACAGAAGCAGATTTCCACACTAATTTCAGAATGATGAAAGTCTGCTCTGCCGTTTTCTGATGGTGAAATAAAGATGAGGTGATGCAGACTATTGAGACTGCAGAGTAACTATACTAGATTTATGAGCATCGATAAGAACAAATGTTGGTCGAACAGATCTTTTCTTCAGTTGGTTCCATTTATCTAACAATATTTAAATCTCAGCAAGCACACCTTAAAGGAGACAGGAATTAACCACGTCATCAAGACGATCACCCTGGAAAATAATGAAGTATCCTAAGTCACACATATAAAAAAAATATGTGGCAAAGTATTTTATCTCTAAGACACTGGAAACTTTTTTATTCCGTTAATGAGAAAAAGCTTGCGTTTTTTTTACTATCGTTATTATTATTAATATAGTCACATCGAAAACTGCCCGCTACTTCATAAAGTGCAACAGACTAACTGAAGAAGCAGACGGCGAAGACAGGACTCCAGGTGAACAGAGAGAAGAAGGAGGTAATGAAGATAACTAACCAGCAGAGACAGCGACAACAACAATCAGCATCAGTCACCTTCAACGGGAGAGATTTGACAGAGGTTAATTCTTTTACTTATTAAGGCAGCCAGTACTGTTTCGACTACACGCAGTCGGGATGGATGAAGGTGTCAAAACCAGCCAAATTCAGAAAGGCAAGATACGCCTTCAACAGTCTGGAGCCAGTTGGGAAATCCTCTGCTGTAACCATTATAAAGAGCAAGATCCGGGATTTTAAACACAAATGTGAAGTCAGTTCTTTTGTTATATCAGTCAAAAACTTGCACTGCGCGTTGTGAAAAGAATTTCCAACAAGCTACATACTTTTATCAACAGCTGTCTTCACTGGCTTCATACTGAAGATAAAAGGGCCAGACGGAAAGAACTGGCGACCAGTAAAGCTTGCTGGGGAGAGAGGCTATTGCTGAACAAATATGCAAGAGAAAATAGAGATAGATTGGCATACATTGAGGAAACTATCAAATGATATCGCGCGTAATGCAGACCATTGCTCAAGTGGAACTCAAAAGGGAAGCGCCAAGTGGGTAGTACCAGTATGACATTCAAGAGGTTGCACGAGGAGGAGGTGAGAGATTCTGATCAATCGTGGACCCACATGAAAAGGATGGAAGAAAACAGAACAAAGTTGAGATGTTTTGTTGAAGCTGTATGTTCCATTCGAAACGCAAAAGAATAATATTTATACTTCATACACTCGTCATATAATTATTCTGACCACGATGACATAAAAGATGTGTGCACAAATTCTTCATGTACGGCTATAATTTTGATAGATGTCATCTAATGGTGGTATTTAGCAAGTTTCATACTGGTTCAGATACTGTGTTTGCATTCACCTTCACCTTTTTGAAGTCGGTACCCATACCACTTCAAAGGTCGAGGACTCATCAGATGATATACAGGGCTTTGATGATCAACCAATTTCGGAACAAGTATCAGCCGTTAATAGCAGAAGGATATAAATTTACGGTCTTATTTAATTTTGCCAAAATGAATGATTCGATAATGAATAATGTGTTCCATTATCTGAAGTAATCTTCGCATATACTGGGATTCATACATAAGAAACTGATGTTATACTGAAAAAATAATATAATGGATGGTCTGTAATCAAGATGTATTCAGAAACAAAGGAAATGAGATATTTAGTAGTTGTTCGTTGAACTAAGACAGTTTTGAATTGATCTGATGATAAGTAATAGCTAGTGATGACGACTAATAGGACTGCTTGCTTGAATTACTAGGCTATCTGACTTTCTATCCAATATACTGCATTAAAATTTTCTCTAATGCTCATTATTTTAACCTCTCAGTTATGTCCTTGGGTTACGTAAGGTACCCACACACATTTTTAACTGACTTTCAACCTACTGATATGGATATTCAGGATTTCACCATGAGCTGACATTAGTTAGAGAACCATTGGAAAACCTGCAGGGAGTACTGGACAGCTGTTTCGTCCTAGTTTGGGACTCTTCAGCAGTACGCACCCACCGGGATTCGAACCCAGGACCTTCCGGTTACAAGGTGAGCTCGTATACCATTAAGCCATTGGGACCCGATCCAATGGTCCTTGAATTTTAACTTCTGCCAATTCACGACATAACACTTGAATGATATGGATATCTTGAAAACGAGAGAAATGTAGCATATCGAACCGCGTCATGTCATATGAGGTACTACAGACCTTTTTTTGAAAGCCTGAATGAAGAGAAAATATTACGCAGTAAGTTACGCCTAGAACTCTGTATACTGCGTAAACATTTTGTACAGAATAAGGCTCTTATTACTATTGCTAATAATATCATTATTAAACGGGAATGGGAATTTTGTTCATGGTAGGACTCAGATCACATTCATAAACTTCGCTGTACTCATGCCTGAGTTCAGGAAATCATTTCACATCCCTATTATACATTTCACTAAAGTCTGCATTTGAAAAAATTGTCTTCAGTTTATATTTCTTTATAAAAACATTTTAGTATGAGAATCATTGAACAGCTATTTTGGTCCATTTTGCAAATGTTCAGAGTTGCACACGCACAATCACGTCAAAGATCGAATCCATGACCTTAAGGATATGAGTCCTGGCCATTGAATATTAGGCCTTTGGATTGGAATTCAAAACACATAAAAATTTAAACTTCTGTCATTTAGCGATTTATTATTATTCCTTACTCCCTTGGGTTCTGGGTAGAACATAAGGCTTCAACAATACATCCCAACTTTGAAATAATAGAAAAGATTTGTAACTCAGGTGGATGATTTGCAATTGATGGTGTTCTCTGAGCTCCTTGGTTTAATTGCGGAGCTTTCATCGTCTTTCTGGACGACATCTTCAGCGCAGTATTTAGGATAAAGTGAAATGATTTAAATTTCTTCATGAGTCTCCCGGTAACCATCTTTAGATATTTATTGACCGTTTTCTATTGATTGGGATTTTAAACTTTCTGATCACCTAATTTACTTCTTATTAGTTGGTATATTTCATCTATATTAACGTGTTTATTAATTGCGTTTTCATTTGAGTACCAGGCTTCTAGGAATTCTCTGGCACATTTGGTGTTTCCTCTGTTTAAGATTTTGACATTATCCCAATCAAATTGATGTCCATGATCGTCTGAATGTATTGATACTAAAGAATTTATATCATGTCTTTTCACGGCTGATTTGTGTTCCTTGATTCTAATTCGAAGGGGACGCCCACTTTGGCCGATGTAATGTTTGTTACAGTTCACACAATTTATTTTGTAAATGGTGTTAATTTTATCTCCCTTTTCTATCGGATCTTTTGGTTTGCATAAGATGGAATTAAGCGATTCAGCTGGTTTGTGTGCTACATCTATATCAAACGGTTTCATTATTCTAGCCGTTATTTCAGAGATGTTTCTGATATATGGGAGACTCATGAAGAAATTTAAATCATTTCACTTTATCCTAAATACTGCGCTGAAGATGTCGTCCAGAAAGACGATGAAAGCTCCGCAATTAAACCAAGGAGCTCAGAGAACACTATCAATTGCACATCTCAACTTTGTTCTGTTTTCTGTTTCGTCTTCAGCTAAGGCCACGATTGATCAGAATCTTTCACCTACCTCTCTCACGATCTTCTCCATGTCACCCTTGCACTGACGAACCACTCATGGCTTCTTGTTGAGATTCCACTCCAACAGCGGCCTGCATCGTGCGCGATTTCATTCGACGGCCTCCTCAATCCCTGTCCAATCCACTCCGATTTTCTCTTGCATATCTGTTGTATGGTTGGCTCTTCGTTGGTTTGCCTCCAATTCTTTCTGACCGACCATCTGCCATCACAGACAGCTGTTGATAAAAGTCTGTAATGTGTTGGAAATATTTTTCGTGACACGCAGAGCAAGTTTCCCACCAGTATAGTAGAAGAACTGACTTCACATTTGTGATAAAAGTCTAAATATTGGTCTTTATACCGGTTGGAGAGGAGTATTTACAAAAACTGTTTCAGATTGATGAAGTCATATCTTGTCTCTCTGATTCTGGCTGGCTCTGAGGTCTTCATTCGTTCTTCCAGTCAGCAGACAACGTTCCTTCCTTCTAAACCTTTTGCAATAATGGCGTGAGCACATCTCCCGTACTCTCTGGGTCCGTTTTCAATGCTTCGGGAGGACGATATGTCGTTACCGCCAACCAGTACTGTCGATCAGCATCCAATTCACCCTGATATTTTAAACTCCAGTGGTTACAATGGATGTCAATTAGCGACAAAATCTGAGATGAGATTTGTCCAAATCCCTACAAAAACCTAAAATTTGATAATTTATTCTTTT